CGCGTGGTGTATTCGACGCGTGGTGTATTCGACGCGTGGTGTATTCGACGCGTGGTGTATTCCACGCGTGGTGTATTCGACGCGTGGTAAATTCGACGCGTGGTGTATTCCACGCGTGGTGTATTCGACGCGTGGTAAATTCGACGCGTGGTGTATTCCACGCGTGGTGTATTCGACGCGTGGTAAATTCGACGCGTGGTGTATTCCACGCGTGGTGTATTCGACGCGTGGTAAATTCGACGCGTGGTGTATTCCACGCGTGGTGTATTCGACGCGTGGTAAATTCGACGCGTGGTGTATTCCACGCGTGGTGTATTCGACGCGTGGTAAATTCGACGCGTGGTGTATTCCACGCGTGGTGTATTCGACGCGTGGTAAATTCGACGCGTGGTGTATTCCACGCGTGGTGTATTCGACGCGTGGTAAATTCGACGCGTGGTGTATTCCACGCGTGGTGTATTCGACGCGTGGTAAATTCGACGCGTGGTGTATTCCACGCGTGGTGTATTCGACGCGTGGTAAATTCGACGCGTGGTGTATTCCACGCGTGGTGTATTCGACGCGTGGTAAATTCGACGCGTGGTGTATTCCACGCGTGGTGTATTCGACGCGTGGTAAATTCGACGCGAAATTCGACGCGTGATGTATTCCACGCGTGGTGTATTCGACGCGTGGTAAATTCTACGCGTACTATATTGGGCGCGTGGTAATTCACTGCGCAGTAATTCTACGCATGTTAATTCGATGCATTATATTTTATTACATCGTACTTCCACACATTATAATTCAATAAATTATATTTCTACTGTTCAACTCAACTACATTACAATATATCCCATGTCACTATACACTGCATCTCATCGTATACGAACATGTACTCCAAAATGTATCTCAGCCACTATTATATTCCAACATGTACCTCAACCACAGCACCCCATCATGTTGTATTTCGACGTGTATTTCAACCACGTGACACGTTACAACCTGTTGTGTTACCACATATTGTAATTGAACCTCACACGTTATATCACCATACCAATTTAAGTAAAAAGAGTCCAATTCAAATCATTTGATTAAATCAATGGCATAAGAAATTTGTAAAATTGTATCGTTTCTCTGGATTCTAAATGTGGAGTTAATGGTCGAAGGGTGTCGTTAAATTTAACGAAGCGTTGTAAATAACGTTTTAGCAACGGCGACCCAATTATGCAAATTGGCAGAGCTCACGATCCGTTCTCAGAGCAGTTAATTACTTGGATCGATGACAATCTGTCAAGCCGGTAACTCGAAGCACGCAGCCATTTCGTAGCAGCAAAAGGAATAATTAATATCCTTGATAATCCGCATGATCGTGTGTCGTACTAGACGCAGCTGTTTCTACTGTCGTTGGGTGTCAACCGTAATTAAAATTCAATCTTGGCAACAGAATTTGTCCAGTAAATTTGCCTCTCTCGTCGATAATTGGAACACGACACGAAAATTATTTTAGCTCGTGAATCAGGCAAAAAATTAAAGTACAATAAATCGTTCCGCTGTCAAGTGCAAACAATCCATTAATATATTCCATCTTGACCGAATTCACCCAAGTTTTCACAGTCATCGACGTCCTACCTTGCTCGTTTACGATTATTATCAGAAAATATTCGCGACGTTGATTGGAAAGCCTTTTATAATTAAATTGATTTCAGTATAAATTCCTTCGAAATCGGAGATCGGAGATACTGGAGGGAATTATTTTTTAATTTGTTTCAATTAAGTCTTTTGCTGTTGTGGACAATTATGGTCTTCAGTGAAATTGATTGATGTTATGATGTTATTGATTGTTATACGATTATTGTTAAAAAAAATAATAAAATTGTCAGAGGGTAAGATTTCAATCTAGTAATTTTTTAGTTAACAATATATTAAACATTTTATTTCAGAAATTGTTCATCAATGAAGTAGTGATACTGCTTTAGATAACTACAGTAATTTACTCCGAAGTGCGAGTGCCGAGTACAAGAAGTAATTTCACCAAACGAACATCGATCTTTGCTAATCCATCGAATGTTTTTAAAGTCAAGGACGAGTAATCGCACGATTTAGTCGTCATTGGCATTGGCAAAGAAACGGAAGCACTCGTATGAAGCGAATCGATATGGATCTGGAGGAAGCCGTATCCTCGAAACGAAACGATTCCACCTCGACGACGAAGCTTTACTACGTTGATACCAAATATCTGCTTAGTTCTAATACAGTTAGAACGCATTAGTTCCCTTCGACGATCTTCTTCTATTTTATACTATTTTCACCCTTTCAACAACAGAATTATCCATTAAGTGATTTTCTAATTGCATTTTAAAGTTTCTTAATATTTGTTGGAAAGAAGGCGGGTTGTACTGGATTATTATGTAAATTATATGAAAAAGAGTAGTGCGTATTGTGTATATGTGATATATTTGGAGTACATGTGCAATATATAGAATGTATAAGTGGAGATGTGGAGGTTCAAGAATTTTTCAATTTTAAGGTATCAAGGTTTTATGCTTCCAAAATAACTAGTTCCTCAAGTTTAAAATATGAAGTCCCAAAGTTACGGACCCAAAATTCTATACTCAAGTCCCAAAATTCCAAACTCGAAAAGTCCTCAAAAGTCCCAAAATTCTACGTTCTGCAAGTCCCAAATTTCCAAAGTTCCAGATCCCCAAAATTCCAAATTCGAAGAGGCCCAAAAAGTCCCAAAATTCCACACTCTGCAAGTCCCAAAATTCCAAAGTTCCAAATTCCTAAAATTCCACACTGTGCAAGTCCCAAAATTCCAAAGTTCCAAGTCCCCAAAATTCCAAATTCTCAAAGTTCCCAAAAGTCCCAAAATTTCACACTTTGCAAGGCCCAAAATTCCCAAGTTCCAAATTCCCAAAATTCTACACTCTGCAAGTTCCAAAATTCCAAAGTTCCAGAACCCCAAAATTCCAAATTTCCAAAGTCCCCAAAAGTCCCAAAATTCCACTCTCTTCAAGTCCCAAATTTCCAAAGTCCCCAAAAGTCCCAAAATTCCACTCTCTTCAAGTCCCAAATTTCCAAAGTTTCCACTCTCTTCAAATCCCAAAATTCCAAAGTTCCAGAACCCCAAAATTCCAAATTTCCAAAGTCCCCAAAAGTCCCAAAATTCCACTCTCTTCAAGTCCCAAAATTCCAAAGTCCCCAAAAGTCCCTAAATTCCACTCTCTTCAAATCCCAAAATTCCAAAGTTCCAGAACCCCAAAATTCCAAATTTCCAAAGTCCCCAAAAGTCCCAAAATTCCACTCTCTTCAAGTTCCAAAATTCCAAAGTTCCAAAGTCCCAAAATTCCACCCTCTACAAGTCCCAAATTTCCAAAGTCCCCAAAAGTCCCAAAATTCCACACTCTGCAAGTCCCAAATTTCCAAAGTCCCCAAAAGTCCCAAAATTCCACCCTCTACAAGTCCCAATTTTCCAAAGTCCCCAAAACTCCCAAAACCCCAATATCAGTCCCAAAAAGTCCCAACAACCCAACACCGAACTTCCAAATCCCAAAAATTGCACAAAGAATGAAACCAAAAAAAGTTACAAATATAAACAATAATAAATAAAATAACAACGGATCTCAGGTACAGCATATAAAAACGATGCAGGCCAAAAAATAAAGACTTTATTCATCCACGTACATCGCGTACAGAATAAGGTTGATTAAATTCATTTCAACTATATATATTTATGTATATATATATATATATATGTATATAATTTGTATTTTCTGTTGACGTCGTTTATCCTTTTATCGTGTTTAATGCGTAAACTTCGAACTCTCTGATCTCTATATATCTATTTTTATCTACACATAATTTCTTCTCTTTTTTCTTCTCGATCCTCTTCATCTCTAGTTCTTATGTATATTGTATACTCTTCCTCTTCTATCTCTCTCTCACATTCACACTCTCTTTCTCTCTCTCTCGCGCTCTTTCTAGATATTACATATTCTCTTCGCAATCTAAAAATCGAGAATTCTTCGGATTTAATTTGCAGTGGCAGCAAATCATTTCGGTTTGTCGAAATAATCGATGTTTCATGAATGACCCTTGCCTTATATCGGTGGTCGACGAAGAGAAGGAAATGCCAACAATTTTTGTTACAATTTAATAATCTAATATTTTATGAAAACTATGACTATTTTTCGTTTCTTGTCAATGAAATTACATCTTGTTGAAATTACATCTTATTGAAATTACGTATATTCGAATTATCATAAATTATTAACCCGTCGCAGAGACGCGCAACCTACGCCTACAAGCTTTCAAAAAACCTACAAAATTTCTAACTCCTCTATTATCTCGTTACATCAAACCTCAATAAAAATACGAATAAGGCAAGGGATCAGTTTATTGGTCGACTGTCTGCGATGAGCTCTGTTTAAAGCATTCAAAATTTGAAACATTGTAAGTGTTTTTAATACATTCGTAAGACGTGATTACGTAGATGGTCGTATGCACGACCGTACTATCAGGAGTCCTTAATAGTTTCAAATCAATTTAGTCCCACTCTGCGAATCGATACTGAAGCGCAATCCTGAAGTAAATAACCTTGCGTAAAGATTGTGTAAATACTTGAAGATTACCTCGAAGGTTTGAAATCAGGTGGAGACGTGTACGATAAATTGTCCGCACGCACGATCTGCGTTATCCTTTCACGGATCGATCATACAGATTTAATAGCGAAAGAGCAAATCATCGTAGTACACTTAAGTTTTAGTATATTGATCCAGGTAGATATGATTGAAACCTGTGACCTCTTTGATGAATTAAAAATGACCACCATTTTGAAACCAATCAGAAATGCAACCATGAAATATAAATGATAATGACAGTGTATATTAAACTTTACAAAATTTCAGAAAGCTCAAAGTATAACAAAGAAAAAGAACGCAATAACAATTTAAATACTCTCAACTGCATTATAATAAAATATAAAGCAACTAATGATTAATATATTAATGACTTTGTTCACAAAATAAATATTAAGTAATAAAATTAACAGTAAAGTAAATTTCGCAGTAACATCATAGTTTAATAAATTATACCAGCTAAAGTTTATGAAATTAGGTTGTATAAAAGCCTCGATTGTGGTCCATGCGTGCGAACGTAGAACACGTGTAGATTTCTTCCAAAGAATGTTAAAACAGGTCTTTGACCTCGCATATTATGGCAATAGCCAAAAATCTCCAGGTTCAATTAAAAATGTTCAAAGAAAGGATATTTAAAATATCTAGATACTTATGGCCACGTAAGTGAATTTCGTACAAATTACTATCAGAAATATTTTGTGCGTAATGCGAAGAATCCGAGATGGATATGTTTAGTGTATCGAAGACAGAAACGTCTGACGGTCGAAGTACAGTCCTTTAAGCACTAATTTTTTATGTTAAAAAAACAGTTAATTATTTATATAAAATTTTGAAAGAAACATATTCAAGATTACCTCCCTAAGTGGCAAGATAGTGAACATAACATATGACAGACTATGATATGATTGGCCAGGAAGAATTTGAGTCTTCAATATTTTTAATAATGTTCTTAAGACAACGATATGTACTTGCAATTTTCTAGAGGATATCAATTTAATTTGTTCAAGAGAGGAACATATAGTTACTAAAAATTCTTGCACAAAGGTTAGGAAGACTTTGTATAATTTGGCAGAGAAACTTGTAAATGATACTTTCATTAATTATACATAGTTATAGATGAAAGTATATTGGTCGAATATTATGTAGAGTTTATCAATAATCAGTTGTTCAAAAATTAACAAGAAACAATATATTCATCTCCAATAATTTCATAAATCTGTAAAAGTCCTTGTAAAATCTTGTGTCACTTAGAGAGGTAAACCTTGCACACAACGTCCTCTGTAAAAGCCAATACTTGTGTATACATACACACACATATATATAGTTGAACATCTAATAGTCTACGACAGATATATTATCCAAAAGAATTCGTATTCTTCGCGAAGCTTTCTCTGAGAGATCAAGAAAGAAACGTTGGCACGCGTGGACCATCAGTGTTCCCGTCTGATCGTTTCCGTTTACTAAAGCAGCCTCTCAACTCGACACGCGCTAAAAACTCGGCTACGAATTCATCGTTTGATACGGACGGGCTCGTCGAGTTGCGAGGACTATACCGAATGATTTTTTATTGTTCCCAGCAGAGACTCTTTGGCATTAACTGTGTTTTACTCTGATAATACTTTTCTTGTTTGTTTTGTTGGCGGTCTAAACCCCTCTCTTCATTCGACATTTCTTTTCTGAATCGAAGAAAGTTTTGTAGAGAACAAAATAGAGATCTTTGGTGTCTACAATCTTCAGCTACTGTAGTTTAATTAAGTAGCTTGATAAGATGTTCTTGAAAGAAGTTTACAATATTGAGAATTGTACGTAAAGTAAGACTAACACGTTGACTGCCATGAAGATCATTATGGTTACGTTTTGTCTGCACCCTAAGTTTCATATAATTTATGTTCTGGTTGCTGATTAGTTTTAGAGACTTGTTTTAGATTAACGCTGTTTAAAGGCACCAGCCATTTCATATCAAGAGTGCTAATTTTATTTCAATTAGTGTTAAACGTTTGTTCAACATTCAACCTTGAAGGTATCACTTATGTTGAGTATAATATGCAAGTTTTAATATAGATTAAATTAGAGCGAGGAAGATTGAATAATATATGAATGTAGTGTATTAAATATGAGAAACTTGTATTATTTCTAAATAGAAGTACAGTCCTTAAAGCAAAGCAGTAAAAGGAGAAAAGTTGGATAGTATTAGTAACGTACTAATACTAATTACTGTATCACTATATCATTACTATACTACTGATACAAGTACTATACAATTACTTACTGTACTAGTAGTATAATTACCATTAGTAAAGTACAGTAACAACACCATATTCAAGTACCGATTGCCAACAACATATGATAGTAGAAAGTTTAAATAATCTTTGCTTTGCTACACATTTTATGGCAATCAACGTGTTGACATTTGCAAAACAATCACACCTCTCCTGTGTCCATCACTAATAATAAATATCTAGTTATAATAAAACGCGTATCCATTAACATTAATAATAACCTATCAATTTCCAGGCAACGTGTTACCACACAAAACTGTGAACAGTACAATCGTTGAAAAATTCGAACGTAATTAAAAATGGTCGAAGAACACGAAGCTTGATGGTACAAGTAAGCGAACGATCACGGAAACACGACATGGCGATTGCGTTCGAATTTTCACATCCTGTAAAAATGAGATCCTTAAATAATAAAGACTAGTCGCGTAAACGTATCTCTCTCTCTCTATTTTTATCTCTTTCTCTCGTTCTCTCTCGATATGAACGTTCCTCGGAATCATGGAGTTCGCAGTGGTTACATCGCGGTCGAACGTTCTTCGTGAGCCTTCTTGACGATCGCCAGTTTCGAGTGAGGATCAGCTGCCGGAAGTCCGGTGTAAGGTGGCTCTCTGGTGCCATGCAACATCAGAGTCCACTCCCTGATCCATCCTTTCTGCGGAGTCTGAGTGTTGAAGCTCACCTGCACATTTTGGCAAAATTAATTCTAAACTTAATTAACAATTTTCTATATCTTAATACATTAACATTCAATACAATTTATAATTCTTTTAGCAGTTGTGTTAGAACTAATTACTACATGTAACATTCAATACAATATGATTCTTTTAGCAGTTGTATCAAAATTAATTATTACATGTAACATTTGTTCAATACAATTTATGATTCTTTTAGCAGTTGTAACAAAATTAATTATTACATGTAACATTTCCTCGATACAATTTATGATTCTTTTAGCAGACATGTCAAAATTAATTACTACATGTAACATTCAATACAATATGATTCTTTCAGCAGTTGTGTCAAAACTAATTATTACATGTAACATTCAATACAATATGATTCTTTCAGCAGTTGTGTCAGAACTAATTATTACATGTAACATTCAATACAATATGATTCTTTCAGCAGTTGTGTCAGAACTAATTATTACATGTAACATTCAATACAATATGATTCTTTCAGCAGTTGTGTCAGAACTAATTATTACATGTAACATTCAATACAATATGATTCTTTCAGCAGTTGTGTCAGAACTAATTATTACATGTAACATTCAATACAATATGATTCTTTCAGCAGTTGTGTCAGAACTAATTATTACATGTAACATTCAATACAATATGATTCTTTCAGCAGTTGTGTCAGAACTAATTATTACATGTAACATTCAATACAATATGATTCTTTCAGCAGTTGTGTCAGAACTAATTATTACATGTAACATTCAATACAATATGATTCTTTCAGCAGTTGTGTCAGAACTAATTATTACATGTAACATTCAATACAATATGATTCTTTCAGCAGTTGTGTCAGAACTAATTATTACATGTAACATTCAATACAATATGATTCTTTCAGCAGTTGTGTCAGAACTAATTATTACATGTAACATTCAATACAATATGATTCTTTCAGCAGTTGTGTCAGAACTAATTATTACATGTAACATTCAATACAATATGATTCTTTCAGCAGTTGTGTCAGAACTAATTATTACATGTAACATTCAATACAATATGATTCTTTCAGCAGTTGTGTCAGAACTAATTATTACATGTAACATTCAATACAATATGATTCTTTCAGCAGTTGTGTCAGAACTAATTATTACATGTAACATTCAATACAATATGATTCTTTCAGCAGTTGTGTCAGAACTAATTATTACATGTAACATTCAATACAATATGATTCTTTCAGCAGTTGTGTCAAAACTAATTTCAAAACTAATTACTACATGTAGCATTTGTTCAATACAATTTATGATTCTTATAGCAGTTGTATCAAAACTAATTATTACATGTAACATTTGTTCAATACAATTTATGATTCTTTCAGCAGTTGTATCAAAACTAATTATTACATGTAGCATTTGTTCAATGCATTTTATGATTCTTTTAGCAGTTATATCAAAAGTAATTATTACATGTAACGTATGTTTAATACAATTTATGATTCTTTAAACAGTTATGTCCAAACTAATTACTACAAACAAACTTAATATAAGTTTTGGATTTAAATTCATGAGTTACAATTGAACTTATAATAATTTACAATACAATAAGCTGCAATTGAACTCCATGCTGCTGTACAAGTTTGTCCCCTTTGTAATATGTCAGATGTAAATCCAGACTAACGAAACAATCGTACCTCCAGCAGCCAAGTTCCCTGGGGATATTCTCCCCAGGTGTGAGTCGTCATAAAGGGCCATTTCGTGAAGCCATCTCTGTGATCGTCGTCCTTTATTCTCCGGCTGAGTATCATCGACCTAAAATGATACCTTCATCAAGACAATATCCACATCGATTAAATGATTGCTGATCTAAAGCGTCGTTTAAATTTTAATCGACTCAGCTGCAATTCGAACACGCGGAGGCGTGCAGGTACTTACCTGGTGCCCATGGGAGAAGTTAAGAACAGCTCCAGATCCCCCCGTCGTGAAGCATTGACGGAAATAACGGCCTGCACGTGTTCCAGATAGTTGACGGCGTACTCGGTGCCAGCGCAGGCATCAGTCTTTATTTTCAACAGGATCGATCGGTCGCTCGTCACTTCCCTAAAAAGGAAATTGATACACGTGGATTCGCTATCGACCTAAAAGGACCCAGTTCCTCGGGGATCTCGGTAATTTTTCTGTGTCAGGGAGAAACGAGGCGAGCGTGTAACCGGAGGAAAAGTGCGACAGGAGGGCAGCGGAGATCGATACTCTGGTCATCCACGAATAATAATCTGCTGGCCATGTATCATCGGGGGTTCTCGAAAGGTGACCGGGGATTAAAGTTTCGAGACGATGCATTACGACTTATACTTTTGAACTTCTGAAAGAGCGATAAGACAGCGGAAGTTGCGCGGAAAGTTTGGACAAAGACCAAAGGATAATCTCGGGTCATGATTTATACCTATTCGTGGTTTACTGAAAAGCAACAGTGAATCATTGTTTGCAATTGTAGCAGAGGGAACGAAAGCTTTGAGAATTATAATATACTCATGTATCAATGTTTATGCGCTTAAAGTTATAGAAGTGAAGGAAGATAGAAATTTAAGATAGAAAGAGAACGTTTCGAGGATCTTAAAGTGTTACAGAGTCTCTGAACTGTTAACATCAATCATTTGTGTATTAAGACTTTACACAGTAACTCACTGAGTTTCAAATACGGAACCAGCTTCACAGTGATACCGTGGCGGTACAGTTTTCCATTTCTTCGCCAAGGCCACCATCGCGCCAGCATCCAGCACGCCGTAACCAAACAAATGGTTGAATTCCAGACCCACTCCATTCATCGTCCAATGGAATCTTCCCTTCGCGTCGAACAAGGAATTTCTCTTCGACGTTAACACCGTGAGGTGTTGGATATCTCGCCAGGTCAACTGCGGACTGAAATAAAAATCTCTTTGCAAGATTTCGACAAACTTCTTGCTCTTCAATTACAGCATTAGCTCTATATATTATTTTACAATTTATAGTTGAAGATTGAATTAGTTGGTCAAGATTTAATGTTTAAAAGTTGGGTAGACGTGTTGGGTGCACATGCATCTCGACCTTGAGATATTATCGTGGAATAAATGGCGTTATAATTTACGCTACGATGCTTCTAAATTACAATTTGTCGAATGTAATGTACTGAAGAACGGGGCAGGAGTTAAATCAATTTCTCTCATGCTGCCACTGGTGTACATGCATCATATCTCTGGACTTAATGAACAATCTATGCTAACATATTTTACATGACTAAAATGTCCCTAGAGATTGTATTAAAAAAATTAATTAAGAAGCTAATATGTTGAATGTACATATGTTGTATATATATGTGAAAGATGCTGAATATTTTAAGGAAGTTAAATAAGTTAAATATGTTAAAAATGTTAAAAATGTCAAAGATGTTAAAAATATTAAAAATGTTAAAAATGTTAAAAATGTTAAAAATATTAAAAATGTTAAAAATGTTAAAAATGTTAAAAATGTTAAAAATGTTAAAAATGTTAAATATGTTAAAAATATTAACTATGTTAAAAATATTAAATATGTTAAAAAAATTAAATATGTCAAAGATGCTAAATATGTTAAATATATTAAAAATATTAAATATGTTAAAAATGTTAAAAATGTTAAATATGTTAAAAATATTAAATATATTAAAAATATTAAATATGTCAAAGATGTTAAATATGTTTAAAAAATTAAATATGTCAAAGATGCTAAATATGTTTAAAAAATTAAATATGTCAAAGATGTTAAATATATTAAAAATATTAAATATATTAAAAGAGCTAAATATGTTAAAAAAGTCAAAAATGTTAAAAATATTAAATATGTTACAGAAGTAAAAAATATTAAAGGTGTTAAATTTATTAATGAAATTAAACATATTAAAAATGTAAAAGAATGTAGATAATAAAAAATTAAAAAGTTGTGTAAAAAAGCACCTATTAAACACCTCGTATACATCGTAATTAATTTGCAAAATTTATTACGGTCCAAAAATAATCGCAATATTTATCCGTACGAAGGTACGTTAAAACTACGTGTCCTCCTAATTTCATCATCGCGTTATCGAATATTTACGCGAGACCAGTTCATTTGTTGTAGCAATTAATAATAAATGTATCAAGAGATACAATATGCCTCGTTTAATCGTTCGTGCAGCAATATTGGAATACAGAAATGTTTGCACACCGATCAACGGACTTAATTAACGTGATTTTTGTTTCAGCTTTTCTGTGCACATGACAGACCACGAGGGAAACGGGTCAACAATGCCTTTGACGTTGAAAATACACAAACCATATTGGAAAATCGCAATTTAAATATGTTTTCCCGGTGGACCCAGTGGAAAATTTCATTTTGGTTCTCTAACTTTTAAAGTGAAAGTTCAAACTGAGCGGTAAAAGGGAGAAAAGCGCAGTGGGATGAAAAAAAAGTTGAGAGAAATGGAAGATAAAGGGAATTACAGCTCGGAGAGAAAGGTTAGTAATTCGATATTTATCGAGAACCATGAACTGCTGTATGAAAGTTTCAACGCCTTTGTTCTCAAAGTTACTTGGTTAAATTGCAGTCGATGCACTTAGTGTAAATAACTGAGGTCTTTCGTTCACTCTTCAAATTTTCAACGCAATTATTTGTTTTAGCTTCTGTGGATTCTGGGAGGAATAGGTGTGACGTGGATGTGGATGTGAATGTAGATGTAAATATAAATGTACATGTGGATGCAGATGTAAATATAAATGTACATGTACATGTGGATGTGGATGTAGATCAACATCAGTACATATAGACATGACTTCAGATACATTTTAATGCATGTTGATGTGTATGAGGATGTGGATGAGCTTCAATACATGCAGATGTGAATGTAGATCAATTTCAGTGCATGTGGATGACTTCAACATATGTAGATATGAATCCAGATGAATTTTAGTGCATGTGGATGTGGATGAACATATCAGTACATATAGATGTGACTTCACATAAATCTTAGTACATGTGGATGTGGATGTGGATGAGCTTCAATGCATGTAGATGTGAACGCAGGTAAATGTGGATGTGGATGAAC